GGGTGGCCAGCCCGCGCGCCCTGCGGGCCCGGCCGCCGCCGCGCGCGTGCCGCCGCCGCCCAGCGGCGGCAGAGTGCGCGGCTGCTCCTTCACTGTCCCTAACCCGGGCAGGAAGCGTGGGCAGCAGCAGCGCGGCAAGGGCCGCGGTGCCAGGGGCCGTGCCGATGCTGGACCCCGTCTCGTTGACAAGAACGCGCTGTCCGCGCGCGGCAGCGGGCCCTCGCGCCAGTCGCGCTCGCCGTCGCCCGACTCTCCGCCCGCCAAGCGGGCCGCCTCCGCTGACTCGTCCGGCTATGAAACCGATACGCCGGACGAGGTGCAGCAGGAGGCGGTCCGCAGGGTATGCGGCGCGCTCGGCATGAGGGAGCAGTTCGAGGCGGCGATGGCGGCGGGCGAGCTGCTCGAGATGCTCGAGAGCTTGCCGCGAGGGGCGGTCGAGGCCTCCGTTCGGCTGATGCGCGGTTACAACCGCACGGGCGAGTGGCCAGAGCCCATCCTCACCAGCCCTGCCCCGCAGCGCGGCCGCTCGCCAAGCCCCGTCGATGAGTGGTCAGATGGTTAGTGCCCGAGAGCGAGGGGTCCGGGGGGGAGCACAAACATAGGACGCCCAGCCTTGCCCTCGTGCCGCCGAGTGCATATCCTATGCGAGAGAGATCCCCTGTGCCCTGTGCCCAGCCCTCTCCGCGCGGCGATGCGCCCTCCCCCCTCGCTTTTGCAAAATCCTGCAAAGGTGGGGACGTGTCTGTCCTCGACCCAGCCCTAGCTTGGGATGTCCGTTGTATTTATTTATTTATTTATTCGTGCAGGTGGGGACCTTGTCCTCGTCCCATCCCTCGTTTGGCGTGTCTGTTTTCTTTCTTTCTTTCTTTCTTTAGAGAGTTCGAATGACATTATGACATGCTGAACTCATTCGCCTTCGACTCATTCGTCTTGCCGCAGGACAACGTTGAGCTCGCCGTTGAGCTCGCCGTCCTCGTGCCGACTGCATTCTCTCCCACCTGTACGATTTTCACGACTTGTCCATCGTCCACAGATTGTGCGGGACGACGTCGCGACCAAGCTGCAGAAACGAGCTTTTAGTGGCTATATAAGCATAGGCACTGAGATATGGTGCGCGCGGAGCGCGCTGGTGCTACCTGGACATACGCGCGGAGCGCGCTAGCTGGACACCCGCGCGGAGCGCGCCGGCTAGATACCGCGGAGCAAGAGCAAATCAACTCAACCGTTCGAATGCTGACGCCGCAAGTCGCTGCCGCCGGCTGCCAAAGTGCGCCTGGATTGCTCAGCAGCACAAGCATCCACGGAGCCAGCGAGCGCCGAGCGACACTGCCTTGACTGAGCCGGACCGCCCGACATGTCGGCGGTCAAACTTGTAAAATGGTGCCGATAGCCGAGGTAGCTCCGGCGGACGTGAGAGCACGGCCTGACGATCAAGCACGAGAGCGACGAACGGAGGCACAGATAACTGGCGGTGAACTCACTGCTGATACCTGCTGGAGCTGCGGAAGATGCAGTAGCACTGCCGCAGAGCACGCGCGGAGCGCCGCTGGAAAGCACACGCGCGGAGCGCGCCGCTGGGTAGGTGCGGAGCGCCGCCACTTGAGATTGGGCC